TGTATTTTTGTCTTTAGTTTAGTAAGTAGATGTGTAAATCAAGTTGGGCCGCGACACGACATTGGATTGGCCCGGCACGACACGACACAACATCCCACAGGCCATGCCAGTCCTGGCTCGATGGTCTATGCCCTGTTGGGCCTGGGGTTTGAAGTCTACGGGTTGGTACGGCACGACAAGACCAAGCGGGTCGTGCCGCCTAAGACCCACGTGTCGACACGGCCCAGCACGACCCATATATACTATTTATATATTTTTTATATGGATATATAATATTTATATATTTTATATATTTATATATATTATACAAATTATAATTATATAATAATATATAGTATATAATATATTAATAAAATAAACAATTATTTTGAATTTTATTATACTAATTTATTTAATTATTGTATATATAAGCAATTGTATACATCAAAGTTCATATAAAATTAAAATTTTATGTTTTTTTCAATTCTTTTAAATAAATAGGAAAAATAGCTTTGGCCTGGTCCATGACCCGACTTAGGCTAAGGCTTGGCCCATGGGCCAGCCCGGCCCGCATGGGCCTAGGCCATGGGTCGTGCCAGGCCAACCCCCAAAATTTTCACCGAAAAGGGCAGCACGGCCCACTTTACACCTCTATTAGTAAGTTTATTCTAATTATATATAAATTCACTAATATTTTAATCAAATTGGACATTAAAATATATAAATGAATTGAATCTATTGTTATATTCTAAAATGAAGTTGTTCACATCAGCCTACTCTCTCTTGCTTCCTTACCCTACTTAGAATTTTGTAGTTCTTCGAAATAAAAAATAAAAATAAATAAAACATAGAATGCTCACAAGATTTAGGTTTGGATCCATACCCAAATCCAAATTTGATCAAATTCATTTGCCACCTTATATTGGGGGTAGCCCTTTCCCAAAACCCCCACCGATGACGATGATGAGACCTAAAGCCCCAAGACATAAGAATGCACATGACACAATTCTCTTTTTTTTTTTTTTGTTAGAAAATAGGAAGAACACAACACAAGGCGGGGGTAGCTGTCCCAAGAATCACAAAAGCAAACAAATTAAACCTAAGGTTCCAAGGGAGACATTCTAGATTGACTGAGTCACAAGATAGAGAATCGCACATAAGCTAATCTACCGCTTGATTTACTTCATGATAAATATGCCAGGAGGTGATGCTGGAAATGAAGAGGAGGTACGCATACATTATGCTCTCCAATCTCCGCGTGGGCTTTACGTTCTTTCTCAGGCAATCAATGACGAGCTTTGAATCACCTTTAATAATGATCAGGGAGTCCTTAAAATTGGTAGCAATATTGATGGCTTCCCAAGCAACCCAAGCTTCAGCTAAAATGATCGCAGTGAATCAGCCATCAATTTTGTAAGAGGCATCAAAATTTGTTTTTATGGTCTCAGGTTTGGGATTGATCCACACAAAGACTTCCAAACTTTAGTACTTTCATTAGCTTCATTCTCATGGATATTCTTCAAAACACACATATAATTTCAAGCTCTATCCAAAATAATCTATATGGGGGGATTTGTTATTAAAACATTTATCATTCCTAATTTTCCAAATAAACCAAAGAGTAATAGCAAACTTCTCTTTGTAAAAAAGGTCATCAGAAAGATTCAACCACTTGGAGATCAGGTCCACCAGTTATTTATAAATGGATCATTATCATTTGGAACTGAGAGTTTTGTTTTTACCATTAACCAATTAATGTAGTATTTGTCTCCTTATTTGTATATTTCTACATATACCTTTTTTTATTATATAATATGCATCCACCTCCATCTTCTTAGCTCTATTTTGTGGTTTTCATGGAGAAAATCCCCTAAGAATTCTACTCTCCGCTCACTCCTATATATCCATGTAGTACGATTCAAATCCTAGTCTTTATTAGAATGAACTAGCAAACATTCCAATTGAGCCACACATCAGTTGGCAAGTTCTTCAGAATAGGAGCCCATATAACCTTTCACTACACTACAAAAAAATGCATATTTGTGACATTATACAAACATCACTAAAGAGGGCACAAACGTCACGGAAGCGTTTTTTGTAGTAGTCACTAAAAGTTTTCAAGAGTCACCTATGCATAGATTTGGTGACATTTATTTGTTTATTTTTGTGACATTTTCTAAAAACATCACGAAAAACACCTCTTTTGGTGACATTTATTTAAATGTCACAAATAGTGCAAAAAATGGTGACATTTTACAAATGTCATTAAAAGTTTTCAACAGTTGCCTAAACATAGATTTGGTGACATTTCTTTGTTTATTTTGGCGACATTTTCTAGAATATCACAAAAAAATACTCTTTTGGTGACAATTGTTTAAACGTTACAAATGGTGCAAAAAATTAAATTACTTTTTGTGACGTTTAATAATAAACGTCTTGAAAAACCTTTGTGGTTGAAAATACCTCCACCTGTATGTTTGTCATGGCCCAATGTAGAGATTATATTAAATATGTTTTTCAAATCAATTATATACATTCATTTTCAACAAGAATCTTATGTCCATTCATTAGATCACATGTAACCATTCAAAATAAAAGATAATATCATTAAAAACTGAAATTCAGTATTAGATAAAAAGTAATATATATTTACAATTGTTCACATTTTAGTTCAAATGAAATTAAAAGATTACAAAAAAATGAAAATAAAACACTCTTCAAAAGAGTGTCTTTTCCTTGCCAAAAAGATTTAAAAAAAAAAGGAAAATAAAATATTGGTGATGGTGCTTCTGTAGTGGGATGAAAATTATCTCCATTATGAATTGGAGGGGTTATTGACTCACATCTCTGCACATAAAACACAAAGTTATGAAAATGTATTATTCTTTTCATGCTAAACGATGTAAGTAAATGAGAAATAAAACCCAACTTGTAATAATTTACTAGGTATGA